AGGGAAATTATTGATTTTGCAACTAGACGGTTGTAGGTATGAAGGAGCTAAGCTTCATACAAGTAAATTCACTAAATCAGGCCCGCTGGAAGACCCTGATCTACTAGATCTGGATAATTAAAATACCAAGACAATGTATTTTTGCATGAAGTCTCGTTCTTCAAAATATTTTGATGATTTATGGTTTCCCTCTCCAAAGAAAGAGGGCCAAAAGGCAATTAAGTCATAGAAGTCCAAACAGTTACCAATTCAGCAAACCTATAATACGCATTCAAGGGAATTCACATTATCAACCAGAATGGCATATACCATTATTTTTTTGTTTCCAAAACCTCAACCCCCATGCCAACACCCATAGAAAGAAAGAGAAGCATTTTGTGACGCGTCAGCTTGTTAGAAAATGACAGGCACAAGAAAAGGATATATATACCGAGAGCTAAACAAATTACATGTATAGGTGCACAGAGGGGAGCCTTTGTGCAGGGATTACTGTATTAGAAAACTCGTTATAAAAAGCCTAACCTGCAAGTCAAGTACAGGCAGGAAGCCTGTACTTGCTCGGATTTACGTCCTTTTGTGAAATTTCGATGAACTGCAATCTGTAGAAAATACATTTTGAGTCAGAGAGGGGAAAACTCAACTGAAAACGCCTACAAAACTAATCTCTATACACTATGTACATTAAACATACAGTATAGAACCGATTGGCCATATCAACCACATCATCTCTTTCATCACCAATTCCTAAGCCATCTCTCAAATTCATCATATCTTCTCTAGCTGCAAATACAACATATACACCATTAGATAACCAGAAAAAATCAACGATGAAATGGATCCTTGAACAATCATTTTCATGATAGAAAAAAGTTGTGAACACTGTGCCTTCTCATTTTCCCTTTCATTACAATTTTGATAAAACTGATTTCTGTAGTTTGATTTTGGCCTTTCAGATATGATGCAACAGTCATCTTCAAAGTAAAATCTTTATAGAAACTTTATATACCTGACTTACTACCATATGGCTTCAAATTAGGTATGAGAACCAAATAAACATGAATATGCAACTTTTATCGTAGCCTGTCAATATTTCATCTCCTTTTTCACATAGTGAAAGAAGACTAAGACTGTGCCTCAAAGACAAAAAGAAAAGGAGCTACAAAATTTCAAATGCAACTTAGAGAGTCATTGTAAAGCATCAAGCTCAATCTAATTAAACAACCAAGCAAAATATTGACTCAGCAGACAGTAATATTGCAAGAATAATGAACCATAACATTTTCCCACTATAAAAACCTAAGATCAATTACTTAAAGGAGAAGCCTAGAAGCATCTGTCACATTGTTTAGGCCAACCAAGAACAGATCATAAAATGAGGTTCCAAGCATGGACAACTAAATATGAAAGAAAACATACCTTTTCTAATTCTCCTTTCACGTGAGCTAGAGATGTCACTCTGCATACTCCTCACTATGTTCCCAGCCATTTGACTCTACAACCAAAACATATGTGTAAACACTTAATACTTCCTAATGTCGAGAGATACTTCTTCTGACAGTCACTAATCAGGCCGGTCACTTAGTTTACTAGTTTTTGTTTCATTTCCGTTACTGGATCTTGCACGAAAACATCGTAACTAAGTTTTGATACATGCAAAAATGCCTTGTTTCACGCATGGATGCTATCATCAAGATCAACACTATAAAATTCTCCAATATACTACCAAAAGCGGCCACAAAACCCAAAAGACGTTATGGGTATTTAGATTCTTAGTCGCTTCCTATCCATAAACCATACTAAGCCGGACATAGCTTCATAGTTAGTCACATCCCCAAACCATTGGAAGCATCAGTCTCTTGGATTTGTCTGGCCCTAAAGCGGAAAAAACTACAAAAAAGAAGGGTACTGAACCAAAATCGAAGCTGCATACCTGCCCTGCAGCATTCTTGACGAATGTAACTTCGGTAGAAAAATTGAAATCGTCCAATATCCTCCCACATAAATTGCATGCCCTGCAATTTATTTCATTTGCAGAATCCATTCAGAATCGAAGGAATAAGAACACAGGAACCAATCATTGAAGCGCGACAAAGTTCGAACTTGAGCGAAAACGAAACACTCACAAGGCACCATCGTAGGGCCGAATACCAGGCACGTTCTTCACACAATGGCGGCACCACACCATGGTTCCGTACCACCGGAAATTCCTGATTTAGCGAAGTAATATAGAGCAAAATCTAGAGAAGTGGCTTCAATCAAGTCGGAAAAAAAAACCTAAATTTCTCTATCTTCCGAGTCGGCATCCGAGAAAACGAAACAAAAAATTGAAGAAATCTGATTGCTTCTGCGAAGATTGTTCAAGGAGATCGTGCGAGGGAGAGGAGAGGAGAATCTTAGGGTTTAACGGATATGCGACGTGAATATCAAAGTTATTGAGCTTAATCTTTTTAACCTTAATCTCAGGTGAGTGAGATTAAGGTTGCGTCAGTCTAAAACGCGCATGCGTTTGCGTTTCAATAAAATTCGCAACTTCCATTACTGCGTTTGCAAACGCAGTTTCTGATCACCCGCAACAAATTACGTCTACGGTCTATCATCCTCCTCGTCGACGTTGCATTACTATGACGAGCTTGTCGTTATGTGATCGCATTCTGTCCTAAACCAGAGAACAATGTATTCAATGTTTGGTTTACTCTGCTTATGTCGGGAATATTACAAAAATACCTTTAAATGTCGATTTCACTTACATGACATACCCTTCAAACAAAAAACCTTCAAAAAAAAATTGGAAAAGAATGAAAAGACACCATTACCCCTTTTAAATGATACACGTGTCAACATCTGAAAGAGAAAGATCAAAAATTGGGAAGTTACTAAATCAAAAAAATTTGAAAAACCAAACAGTTTTTTTTTGACCCATTTCGACAGACTTCATAGTATCGTTTCTTCTTCCCCTTCTTCAGTTTCTCTTCACTCTGTGATTTTTCTGTACGATCTTTCTGTGCGAGTTCGTCAAACTCGTCAAACTTGCACGAAGAATGGCTTCATCTTCATCATCTTCGGCCTCCTCTTCGGACCCTATTTGCAAAGACCTCCAGGTATAGTTTTTGAACTCCGCAAAAATCAAATTTTTTAGGGTTTCGGATATACATTGAGATTCGGTTTTAGATTTTCTATTAAGTTTTCGTTAAGAATAGGGTTTGAAATAAAAATTTTAAAAACTATGGTTTGAATGACAAATTGTCACTGAAATATCGAAATAGGGTTTTCGGATTGGGTGAAAAACAGTGTTTTGTGAAAAAGACGGATAGAAATCGAGTCACGATGATATTGTCGACAGTCGGATGCACTAAAACATAGATTAATGGTCATGCTAGATATTAGTTAAACTTAGCGCACCCGTTAAACAAGTCAAACTATTCGAGTCTCGAAAATGTTCAAACTCGTCAAACAAGTCGGAGTTTGACGAGTTTGACGAGTTTGACGTGTTTGACGTGTTTGACGTGTTTGATAATGAGTGTTAAATTTGTTTTTGCAGGTACCTTTTGTGTATGATTTTAAGGACATTCATATGGCTCCTAAGATCACGACGAAATGTTATCCATATCAGACTGTTAGATCTCTTAAAAAGGTCTTGACGGATGAAGAATTTACATATTTCAAAAAAGAATCCCAGTTTCGGCATATTTTCCATCTCGCATGTAAGGACACATTGAAGATGGTTCCGGCATCAGTCCTCTTACCTTGTATGTCATTTTGACCACAGGTTGACCGCGTTGACTCGGCAAACACGTCAAACTCGTCAAACACGTCAAACTCGTCAAACACGTCAAACTCGTCAAACACTGACGAGTTTGA